CAAGTGTGGGATCAATGTCGCGGCGAGGAGAGAGAGAAAGAGGATTGTGCCTGGGTTGGTTTGGGATTCAATGGAGTTTGCAAGGTGGGTTTAAATCAGTGAAAAACTAGCACACTATTTCGTTCTGATCAATGTCTCGCTAATTGAATCAGTGTACAATGTCTCGTTAATAGCGTATTTTAAGGGCCTCACTATTTTGTCATAGAACACATTTTTTTCATTGGTTTAAATAGGACAACACATAGGTGTAAAGAGTTAGGAACATGACATGTGGAAAGTTCAACACATATTCGATGAGAAATTAGTACCAGTGCCTACTATGCCCATGTTCATTTGCGCATACTCATGTGTGATGATATCAAATATGGACACGTCTAGGAAGCGGTCGGCTGCTCCCTAGCGCTCCGAAGTCGCCTACTCTTTGAGGTAAGTATTTGTCCTTTGTCATTATTTTTAGAATGCATGCCAAAAAGGAAACAAAAGGAAATTACCAACCAATCATTATGCATGGCTCTTCACTGCGTGTTAGAGTTGGACGTCCCATGAAAAAAGTGTGAATACATTTAATTCAGATTTTTAAAAAGTGCGGCGTTTCGGCGCCCAGGCACATCTGCACCTGGTTAGAAAAAAATCAAAACAAATACTAGAAAAATTAAAAAAATCCAAATTTGATGTGTGTGGTTCGCCCCAATTTTTAGATCATTTGAACAACTGAGTAGCTCTCAGAAAAAAAAACAAATTAGGTCAGAACAGTGTGTGAAGAGTAAACTTTTTTACAGACCTCGAATTTGTCTTTTTTGCCGAGAGCTATTCAGATGTCCAAATGATTTGAAAATTGATGCGAACCTCACGTATCAAATTATCCACCACAATTTTTTTTGGAAAATTTTAACTTCTTTTAGTATTTGTTTTTGTTTTTTTCGTCAGCGAGGGTGCAGATGAGCCTGGGCTCATAAATGAATTATCGATTTTTAAATATTTATAAAGTCATAACTTTTGAACCGGGCATCGAAATTAAGATCCATTTTCACCGTTGGAATTCTCGTGACGTGCTCTTCGAAACTAGATCCAACATGAATATGTTTCGGTGAAATTTTTTATGTGCAATTTACACTCTGTGTTGTGCAATTGTCTAATAGTCTATGTGCAACTACTTTATAATTGATGTGCAACTTCCCGCTGCTCGTAGACATACATTTTTCACTGATGTGAACATGTGTGAACACGTTTATTTCAAGTTTCATTTTTCTAAAAATTGTTATAACTTTTGAACCGAACATTGAAATTAAGATCCGATTTCATCATTGGAATCCTCACGATGTGATCTTCGAAACTAGATCCCGCATGAGTATGTTTTTACGAATTTTTTGTGTGCAATTTACTCCCTGTTTGGTGCAACTGCCTAGTAGTTGATGTGCAAGCACCTGACATTTGATATTCGACTTTTCGCCATACCCATGGACATGCAGCTCCGTGGTCATGCGTGTGTGACTACGCCGCCACATGTGTGCAACTCTCACACTCGTGCGTGAGCTTCTGTGCCGACGAGGGTGTGCACCGTTGCGTTTGTTACTATGGCGATAAGAGTGTGCAATTATTCGATCGTGCGTGTGCCACTATACGGACAGGAGTGTGCAACTCCGCTACCACACGTGTCCGACTATATCCATAAGAGTGTGCAACTTTAGGGTTGTGCGTGAGCTACTAAACCAACAAGAGTGTGTAGCTCTGTGATTGCGTGTGTGCAACTATGCCACCGGGCGTGTGCACCTCCCGTGCATCAGCTACTATGCCAACAAGTGTACACATTTATGGCCCCGCATGTGCAACCATGGTGATGAAAGTGTGCAACTTTGTGGCCTCGGTTGTGCGACTATGCTTTAGAGCCCTCTTATATGCAACTTTTCTCTACCTTATGGATGTACCGTTTTTATCATTCAACTATCCCTAGCAGTGAGATGTGCAATTTCGTCTGTTGCCCTGACCAACTGCCAATCAGACCATCTGCAAATCTGCATGTTGCTTCCACCAACTGAAACAACACATCCACAAGTAGAAAGGGGAAGGAGTTGCACATTGACTACTACGCGGTTGGCTGGAACAACAGACTAAGGTGCACATGCTGCTGGTACGGGTAGGTGGGGCAGGGTGTGCCAGCAATGAAAACTGCACATCCACAAGAAGGGACAGGGGTTGCACATCGACTACTAGGTAGTTGACCAGTAGTAGACTAGTCGCACGTCACAAAAAAATGATTGTCACGGTTTCTAGGCTGCAACCTCATATGAAGTTGGATTATATAACTCTAAAGTTGGTTTCGAAAAAATTGCACCTTGCAGTATTAAAGTTGCATCATACGCAATAATATAGTTGCATCATATAGCATTAAAGTTGGCGTCGAAAATATTTCGTCAAAACAAACCCATGAGGGATCTAGTTTCAAAGATTTCGTCGCGAGGATTCCAACCGTGAAAACATGTATGAATTCTGACACACTGTTTGAAAGATATGACTTTAAAAAATATTAAAAACTTGAAATAAATGCACATCGATCTATTTTCCAGCGTCCGACCAGAGAAGACCTCACTTGTGCGGGCGCTCGATCTGGTCTGATCGAGGCTGTCTATGGCTGGCTGCTCATTTCAGCCAGATAGTGCGTGCGCACTAATAAGAATTTGGAATCAAATATAGCTTATCACATCACACAGGGACATGTTTGGAGTCGAATTTCAAAAAAGGGCACGCAGGCACATCGAACACGGGAATATTTGCCTAGCACATCACACACGATGACTTGGAATTGAATTAGAAAACCAACCAACCAGTTTTTTCTTTTCTTTTTGAGAAACCAACCAACCAGTTTCACATGGTGCTCAATGGCGGGACAAGAACATACTGATAGCATTTATTTTCTCGGGGAAATACTAATAGCAGTTATGAGTACTTCCCAACAAAGAGAAATTGTTACCAGGTACGTATGAGACCGAACAAGCAGCACTTTACAACGTGCAGTTGAGTCGGGACGTGGGCACGGCGTAGAGGTGCGCGGCGCGCGGTCCAGTGATGCCGGGCATGTCACCCATGTCAAGCTCCGCCGGACTCATACCGTCGGGTAGCTCCCAGTTGAACCCATGGGCGAGGTATGCGACAGCCAATTGCACTGCATGATGACCGAATCCCTGTGCTGGACACGAGCGTCGTCCAGACCCGAAGGGTAGGAACTCGAAGGAGCCGCCCTTGAGGTCCTGCCCGACAGCGTCCCCCTCACCTGGCATGAACCGCGTCGGCCGGAAGGCGTCGCCGTCCTTCCAGGCCTCGGGGTAACGATTGATTGCCCACATATTGATTATTATTCGCGAGCCTTTAGGGACCGAGTAACCTCCGAGTACACAGTTTTTAGCAGCCGCGTGGAGAAGCGTCGGAATGGGCGGGTGCATGCGGAACGTCTCTTTGACGATGCATCCTAGGAAGGGGAGCTTGTCGAGGTCTGAGTCATCCACCATGCGGTCGAGCCCCACCACGTCAGCCAGCTCCTGCTGAAGCCGTGCAAAGGTATTAGGGCTACGCATCATCTCCGCCATTGCCCACTCAATCGTTGTACTCACCGTTTCCGGCCCGCCAAACAACATATCTTGTGTTGGGAAGCACACATTAAATGTACCAATAGAAGTGTCTCAAAAAATGTACCAATAAAAATAATAAGAAATTGTTAATCGTACTCTCAAATCACCAGGTATCAAATTTGAGTCAGTGTGAACTCATTATGCTTTTATCACCATGGTGGAAAGTTACGAGTCAATGAAAATGCCGCGATACTCCATGGTAATAATTCAGCAAGTCATATAAATGGTGATGTCCTTATTAACCCATTATCTTTTGGTGCAGCTTATTCTATAACTTTCTGAGATTTTTTTTGAAAGAACATGATGTTAACCGCGCACATCACACTCAAACGAACCATCTGTTTTTAAAAACCACTGAAAAACTTGCAGGTTTTGACTATGATTCACCATAGTTTCTTCTAACCAACCTCATAATTTTCCTCCTCATCTCTATGTCATTGCCCCCCAAAAAACTTTTCTTCTGATTTCCCCTATGATGTCACTTATTTTGGATAAACTTTGTACACTGGAGTCTGAGGATTCTGTTTGGTTCACTATAACTGCATCTGAATTTTCTAGACAGTTTGAAATTGAATCAAAGTTTAAATAAACAAAGCCCAGGACATGTTTTGTTTAGTCAGAGGGTTATCTTTTTTTTTTGCTAGGTTTTTTTGACAACTTGATTTTTGGTTAAATTTGAACTGAACACTTTACAAGAAATTCTCTCCTATTCTTTTACTCGGTTTGGGAAAAAGTAACTGAACAATACAATTAGGGGTCATCTTTGATATGACAAAAACCACGTCAGTTTGAAAGTTGGGGAGGGTTATAGGTTATAAC